AGTATCGCTGCGGGCTTCCACCAGAGTTTCCTCTGGCTTCACCCCGCTCAGGCATAGTTCACCATCTTTCGGGTCCCAACAGGTATGCTCACACTCAAACCCTTCTCAAAAGATCAAGGTCGGTCGGCGGTGCACCCCAAAGAGGGATCCCGCCAATCAGCTTCCTTGCGCCTTGCAAGTTTTTCCACTCGCCAACTCGAACACATGTCAGACTCCTTGGTCCGTGTTTCAAGACGGGTCGAATGGAGAGCCCACAAGTCAACGACCTGAGTACCACTACAAGAAAAGAGGCTTTTAACCGCATTTAATTCCCTACACATGATCAAGTGTGGCAAAAAAATTTCGCACATATCATTTCTCCACACTTATAAGGGAGGGTATTAGTGATATCATGTACCCACATAATATAAGTGTAGCAAATCAATTATATGTACTTAATTTTAAAAAATGTGCATTTAACTAATTACTCCGTAAATTATTCCTTAGGATTTGAAAATCTCAAATTACCCCGTATACTTAAAAAAATTGGGCTTCTTCTAATTCACTCAATTAAGAATCGCGCCTAATTTTTCATTGTCCGATCCATCCCGCCGCCAAGCTAATAATTCATCTCCCAAAACAAAATTAACCTAATCAATTTGCGCGTCTTCATCAGCTCTCTGGCGCACGCATGCTCTACCTCTTTCGTTCCGCATCAGTAGTTCAGTACTCCTTCAGCATCCTATTCACAGTTCTTCGGCCAGATCTAGATCATCCGGTAATCAATCGTTCCGCATCATCTTAGCAATCGTTCGGCCTGACGAATTCATTTAGGCATTTATTTTCCTTTTATCTCTTGAAATTAGATTGTTGAATTGATTTTGTGGCAAAGTATGTTAACTTTCAAAGGAATTAAATTGAAAAAATTGACAAAAATATTAGACGCATCATATCCGGACCAATGCAGTTTTTTGTCAAATTGATCATTGAAATGCATCTAATTTGATTGAAAAACCCGAACTTGTGATTGTTACCTGGAAAATTTATGGTGCTGTGTGTAAACCTGTTTGATGTATGACTAGTTGTTAGTGTTTGCGTGCCCAAATCTGTGTATATGACATAATAAAGTAGAGGTAATTACTTCAATATGGAAGAGTGGGGTGTTTGAGTCTGGGAAATCTATAAAGGAATCACAACATACCAAAAACAATGAATTGTATTTACCTCTCCAGCCATGGAATTTTTTTTCTATCATATTGCCGGCCAGTTGGTGTGCTAGAGAAATAAAGTGGAAGAGTCTGATAGATGACACATTAGATGTGTGAGAAGTTAAAATATTATGTATTCTTCACAGTAGAACTACTGAATTTGATATGATTTGGACTTGATTAATACACACATTGTCTTAGTTAGACTGGTGCAGTGTACTGATTCAAATATCTCTCTGGAAGCCTTAATTTGTTTTAAAAATATCTAGTAAGGAGTATCATAAAGTATAAATATACAAAAGATATATAAATGTATTAGTCTAACTGTCTAAGAAAAAGTGACCTGCTTACAATATCGATTCATATATTCATAATAAAGTTATCTTGGGTGTGCTTGACTAACTCAAAATTTGGCTTGAATTGATTAATCGTATCTAAAATGAGTTATGAGGAGGTTTGCTTACCAAAAAATTATGGTGGATTAGGGCTGAAAAATCTTGCTAATTGGAATAAGGCAGTTAACGTGAATCTGTTATGGGTAGTGAAGATGAAGAAAGACGTGTTATAGCTGAAATGGATCCACAATAGGTATCTCAAGAAGAACACAATCGGGGAGATAAGTCCTAGACCAGACACTTGCTATTACTGGAGGGAATTACTTTATACTCAATACTAGAGAAGAACTCAGACATGCCAAGGAATGGAGATTATATCACTAAGTAAGGGCATGTTTGGTTGATGGGTAATAAAAGCAAGTGTCTTGGACAGATGATGAGCTTTTACCCTAATCACATGTCATTATGGTGTTATTTATGTACGGTTGTTGATGATCATTTTTTTCGTTATTTTAAGTTAAGCAATATTATTACTTTGTTTTTTAAAATTTTTTTTAATAATGCATTATTTTTAACGCTAATAGTGTCTGCTATTCAGATTTATCTCATTCTAGGAAACCCAGACATGCCATTGGTACGAACAAGCCAACCCAGACATGCAAGGAGCAGAGAACTTTAGAACAGCATAAAACTCTTTTACAAAGAGAGAGGGTTCATGTGAGTTTATGTTTTTCGTACTAATGTGAATTGGAATTCAAAATATTAACCACCATTCTTATCCTAAATTAGACCAGATTTGATTAGTAACTCTCTAAGTAATATCAATCTTTGCTCTTTAGATTATGAGTCAGATTTTGTACCATAAAATGTATCACATGTGATATTGTAAAATATATTTTTGTTATTTATTATCAGAGTTTTTTCGTTGATACGACTAAGGAAGACGGTAATTATAGTACTTGTACTTCTACGCCTCCCAATGCATCCGCTCAAGAAAGAGCTACAGAAAAGGTATGTCAGTATGTACTTAAACACAATTTTGTATACTAATGTATATTAGATTTTTTTCACATATTATATATGCGCTTTTTGTTATTAGAGTTATTCCATTGGTACAAACAAGCCAACCCAGACATGCAAGGAGCAGAGAACTTTAGAACAGCATAAAACTCTTTTACAAAGAGAGAGGGTTCATGTGAGTATGTTTTTCGTACTAATGTGAATTGGTATTTAAAATATTAATCACCATTCTAATCCTAAATTAGACCAGACATGATTTTACAAAGTTTGTATTTGTTATTTATTTTCAGAGTAATTTCACTAATGCTGTGAGCAAGTTAGGAGAAGGTGGATATATTGCGTTTACTCCCACGCGTGATAATGCATGTACTGAGCGGAGAGCTGTAGAAAAACAGAAGATGCTTATAAATGCCGTGAGCTTAACTCTCTAAGTAATATCAATCTCTGCTCTTTCTCACCCAACCCTCCTGTTCTTTGGGTATTGTTTTTTTGCTGTTGTTTCTCTTCTTTCTAAACCAGCCACGGCCTCAATGATTAATGTTTACTTCTCTATTTTTCGTTGTTGTTTCTCTTCTTTCTAAAACAGCCACGTGCCACTGCGTTTACTTCTTTCTTCTGTGTCACCCCCATGGTGACTAGATTCAAACCCAGTATGTCTTCCCTTTCTTCATTTCCTTCTTGTGTTTTTGTATCTTGCAAGCGTGTCTTCTTGGGACCCTTCACTGCCTTGAACAGTGGTTTCTCTGGCTTGGGTGCGTCTTTAGGTGTTGCTTTACCCGACGGTTCACCCTTGCTTTCGCCCCTTTGCTTAGCCTCCGGAACTGGCGCCTTAGACGCTGCCAATGGCGTGGGAGTGGGTGTTGTTTGGGCTCCAGCATATCCAAGTGTAACATAATTCTGATCAGTCAAGGACGGCTGTTCAAATATGGTGGTCTGGGCTACTGCCTTAGTCACGGCAGGAAGTTTGCCCTGACCCTTCTTTTTCCAGCTGGTTTCAGGAACACCCTCTGCCACAACTGTCACGGGAATGGCAGTGGGTTTATTGTGGGCTGTCTCCTTACTCCCACCATCAAGATCTGCCCCGTCCAAGAGAGGAGAAGTGGTTGCTGCCACTGGTTTTGGAAGGATAGTAACTCTGTCAACGGCCTCAAGATTGATGGTGTCATGGAAATCTATTCTCTTCTACATTCATGTCATGCTCATGAAGATATGCAACCATTTGAATGTCATTTTATTTGCTTGTAGGACCAATTATCTCGTGCTCAAATTGAGTTATTGGTGGATACAGTCCTGACACTTTACCCTCAAGAAGTTCAAATGTATCAATCTTTAACAAAGAAAGAACTCAGTATTGCTTACTTGGAGGGAATGGTAAGAATTAAAGTTAAATTATTATCGTTAAGTTTCTTAAATTCTTTATATTTTAGATATAAATGATGTCTATACTTGCAGGCTGCTAGTTTATGTAAGAATAAGGCAGATCAAAAATTGTTAAACATTGTCCTTCGTGACAAGTTGGAGGAAACAACACATGTAAGTCAATTATATATAGATGATGAACTTACTTTGTTTTTTGTTTCTTTGATAACTAATGGTAAAATGAAGATATGTGAATATGGTTTTATACTCTACTTTTCGTGATATGACTTTAAGCATCACTTTTACATTAATTTTTACATTATGATGAAAAATTAATACCACAATTGGTTTGGAACCTGTAGGTGCAATGTCAATCAAAGGATAATAGCACGAAAAAAGGGCAATAAGTGGTGGTTCAAGCTGGAAAAGATGGTGTCAACCTAGCTCTACCAATCTTTTTGCACACATATATGTATATTAATTTGTTTCTTCTCCTAAATTTTGATACATTTGGATATATTCATAACTCATGTTTTTAGACACAAAATGTTGGATGATTGACTTATTGTTAGATCTTAGTATTTAAATTCTAATATATACTTTTTGTTTTTGGATATAAATCAAAATAAAATTGTGTATATATTATTAAAATAATGGTAATTAATTATTATATAATGATTTTGGAGTGTGCATGTGTGTGTGTGTGTATATATGGTATTTGCGACACTTATAAGTGTGTGTATAGTTTTTTCATTATTTTAAAAAAAATGATATTTGTGACACTTATATGTGTGGTGTCTTCTGAACACATATAAGTGTTGCAAAATAAAATATTACCCGCACATGTCAAGTGTTGCAAAAATATACATTAGCCACACTTTTTTTAAAGTGCGGCAAAAAATTCCCCACATTTACGTAGCCGCACTTGGGTCATGTGTGGCAAATCGTTTTTTCCACATTTATAAGTGTGGCGAATAACCATTTTAAGTGAGCCAAAAAGCCTCTTTTCTTGTAGTGTACGCAGGTGCCGAAGCACACGCGGGGCGCGCACTACTTCCCACAATACAAGAGACGGCATTCCCCTAGCATATCAAATGCCCAAGCTTCAACAGCCACCTGAATTCTCGCTGATCCACACCCAGAGCCTATCAGCAGACCGGCTAACCACCGTTCCACATCCAACCTGGGCCTATCGCCGGTCTCCATCCGCTTCCCTCTCGACAATTTCAAGCACTCTTTGGCTCTTTTTTCAAAGTTCTTTTCATCTTTCCCTCGCGGTACTTGTTCGCTATCGGGCTCTC